TTGCAATTTCTCGTTGTCAAACTCTTTAAGTGCTTGTGCAAATATTGATGTGTGTAAATATGTGCCTACAGTTGTGGTATAAAAATAGCAGCATACACGTAAGTAAAGAATAAAATATAAAAAAATAATTGACGGCTTACAACCGCGTACTTGGCTTTCGGCCAAGCTTCCTCTCAGTTTAGAGATCTGTGTCCCAATGTTTTAATGTTGTTTTTTTTTTGTTTTTGACGTTTCATGCAGAGGGAGTCCACATTATGAATATAAGTCACAAAAAATCTGCCGAGTCTCTTAAGCTCGTAGGGCTTCGTTGCTGGTGTTCTCGATTGCGTTAATAAAATTAATCCGATCGGACTAATAAAGTCTAACTTACGTCGAACCAAAGTGAGGGAGCGCGAAGAGATGCCACTGCTTGCTTGCCCCGCTTGGAAGTGGGTATTAAGTTGAAACGAGAATATGCCAAAAATGTGGTGTTGCTCAATGTGAAGGCAGTTTCAAAATCGATGAAGAGGTGGTGTGTCTCTATCCTTTACATGGATCTTTCCCAAGATATGGTGCATAATATATATCTAGTCGATTGCAGATTTGTAAGATCTGAAGCCAAACTGATAAGATTCAATACACTCTTATAGGACCTTATATGCGTTATTGAGGGGATTTTTTTAGGAATAAGGCAGAACACACTTAGGTCAAATACTACAAAGAAGCTAATGCATGAACTTTGTCAGCTCTTAGCCAGCATACTTGAACAGCTCAGCCAGTAATCCATCGGATACCGCCGCTTTTTTGTTCTTCAGGCGGGTTTTAAATGCTCAGATTGTCCGCATGCCTGCAACACTGGAGATATGTCGTATGTTTATCTAAATATGGTTAGATCGAACTTCTTTTCGGTCGAGGCGTGTGCACAAATCAGCACTAAATATGTTGGAAAACTTCGCTTTGATCGGATTGTAGTGAGCTGTTCATCTGCTGGGGGTCATAATGAAAATTAGGGTTTTCTTTTCCACAGGTTTTAGCGCACAAGCCCCCTGAGTTAGTAGATTGATGAATTAGAGCACATTTGTGTTAGCGAGCTGCTTGCCTTAAGACCAACGACTCTCGCAGCCGCCCCATTTGTTGAACAGACTTTGTAAATATACTCAAATGAGCAAAAGCTTCACCCTGTGGATTGCTCACATTTCCAGTTTGCGTGTTGACACAATGAGCGGTACTGCCGTTAGAAAGATGTTAGCTGATCTGAAGATATCAAATTTGATTAGTAGTCGTTCCTCTGTATATTTCTAGAGGGTCAGTGCCTTAATTTCTTCTGAAGTAATGAAACTTATTTGACATGGACATTATTATCCCACTCCTAAGCGCTTGATCTCGGTGTTAATAGAAACACTTTCTCAATCCAAACGTGCTCATTCACTTACACTTAAGAGTTTTTCCCAAATTCACGCCGTTTTATGACAGTTATAGCTGCTTTCGCAGGAGTTCTGGAACTATTTGAAAACTGATGTAAAGTTTGTTACGTTGTCCTTAGGTGGAATTCAGTCCCCTGCCGCATGCCTCATCATGTGGATTGTAGGAATTGGAAAAAAACTTGAATTTTTAGGCGTTTCGGAATAGATTTCGCCTGTGTTGGTTTTGCAGTATTAATTTGAAGATTAAATGTTTATATCGATTACTAAAAAAACCAGACCAATTTATTTCTAATTTTCTTGACCTACCAGCAAAACAATAATTTATTATTCGACTATATTTTCCCCAATACTATTGCTTAATGGAATTACTTGAATAAACGTTAAACATACAAATGTGTACTTACTTCTTCAAAGGAATGACCGTTATCCTATTGGTAAGGGCATTTCCTTGGATGTTCGCTTCAATTGGCTATTTACCACTTCCGCTATTAGTTTTCATAATATTGTTTGCTGTTTTCTGTTTTCTATTCTCAATTATTTTTGCATTACTGGCGAATGCGCAAATTTTTGTTTAGCCAAGCAGAAGTGCAAAACGGGTTAGGAAACATGCAAAATACGCAACTTTTTCGGCTTTTCTACATCTAATGGATTCATAATGTGAACATAATGATATTTTATACGAAGACAATACAGAAAATAGGCAGAGTTCGAAAAAGTAGCGAAGCTCAATAATGATGAAAGAAAAGCTACAAGAAAGACATGCAGGAAATATCTACACTAAATGAGATGGACAGCTGAGTAATGGATTAAGTGTAAATGGAAATAAATGAAATGAGGTAGAGCACAGTAAAGGACAGTATATTTGGGGATAATAACTTCTCTGACCCTAAGAACTAAATTGAAAGACATTGCTGATAAAAAATTAAATAAATAAATAATATATAAAAATAAAGAAGTCATAACTATTTATATTGTGTTATTAGATCGTTTAGACGGAAACTGAAAGACGTTGATAATTTCGAAGAAAGTGGAAAAATACATAGAATAGTGAAGATAGAGTGAAACACAAAGGTGTATAGAAGATGGGGACAACACGTTTACCGTAATGCTGCAATTTAGTACAAAAAAAAATTTATATATATAAAGCTGACATGAATTGCATATTTTGTTTATTTTTTATTTTTTGTCGAAAATATTTTCGTATATAATCAATCACATTAAGGGTTTTATGTATATTTGAACTAAAATAATATTATCAATATTTAATTTTTTGTTAATTTGTAATACACAGAGAGTAATGCACAAAACGTAAGTATAATTATGCAAAATTTGCAACGGAATATTTATAGTGTTATATCATTTGATATATATATATGTTTAAATACTTTAAAATCATGGAAATCTTTAGCAATATTTTTGATTATTACTGTATTTTCATTTTAAGTCTATATTAAATAAAACTCTCATTACATACATTTCTCTCTTAAGGATTTTCAACACGTTTATATACACGTATATAAATAAATGTATCTGTAAATCTGTCAATATAAATATTTTAACTCGCATTGAATAGATAAAGTTTATTTGATTATTGTACATAACTTATAACCCCTCCTCTGAGACAAGTTTGTCCAATTTAAAAAAATTTTTTTTTGAATCAAATGACAGCTGCGCTTTATCCAAATAATTTATATTAACTTATAAAAATATATATTATCATATATTTTTGGACTAATTTTTATTTATTTATTTATTGTTTCATTTGAAGGTATTTCTTAACCATGTATTTTCATTTCGGGTTTCTAATAAAAATTAAAATACATATATCACGGTATTCATACATATTTGGTTTCTTTGGTAATTTTATATAAACATATACATACATAGTTCATTGATTAAAGCTATTACACTAAAAAAATCTATTTCTTAAATGCCATGGCAGTCTAGATATTCTCTACTTTAGATCTACTTTTCTCAGACAATACTACATTAAAATATTTATTTTCGTTGAGCTCCATAAGCGAATAATTTTGTATATTTTTATATGTAGATACTGTTATGTTATAACAGTACATATAAATATTTAATTTTATTATATTTCAGTGTTTTCGAGCACAATTTTTTTCTCAGTTTTCTTATTTAATTAAAATAAAGTTTTATTTATTTTATTTCATTACTTAATTTTTTACTTTTTTAGATTAATTATTATGGTAATTTTTTATATTCTTTAAACCAATTTTTTCATTTTATTACTTATTATTATTGTTATATTTTATTATTTATTGTTTTTCCATTTTATTTTCTTGATTTTATTTTATATTTTTTATTCATTTTATTTTATTGTGTTTATGTAATTTTTGTTTTATCATTTAATCTTTTTGTTTTATTTTTCAATATTTTTTTTTTTAACTTTTTTTTATTTAAAGGTATTTTATTCATTTTATTTTATTCTCATTTTTAATTCTAAATAATAAACTTATTATATTTTATTTTACTTCCCTTGTATGTAAATGGAAAATAAATGAAACTATCAGCTTGGTTTATCGGCCTTTTAAGTTTATTATATTTTTCTGTTTTATTTTATTTTTTTTTATATTTATTAGTATGATGTTAAATTAGTTTATTTCTTCTTTATTATTTTTTTAATTTAAATTATGTATTGTTATATTATATTTTGTTTTATCTCAACTAATTTGATATTTTAGCTATATTTTATTTTTATAAATTTTTAGGGTATTTTATTGTATTTTAATATAAATTGGTATAATTTTTTTTTATTTTGTTTCATCTTTTAAAAAAATGTTTAATTTATTCCACTTTATATCATTTTATTGTTTCTTTTTTAGATTTGCTTACATGTTATTTTATTGTAATATTTATTTATTTTGCTTAATTTTTAGATTTTACTCCATTTTAATTTGTTTCTCGTTTTTAATATTTATTTAATTTTTTTATATTGTTTTAATGTATTATATATTAGTTATATTGTTTTTTTATTAAGTTTGAGTTTTTTTATTTATATATTTTATTTAATTTTATTTTATTTTATTCTACCTCACCTTATTTTAACTTATTATAGTTATAGTTTGTATATTTTGTTAGATTTAGATTATTTTATTGTTACTAATTTTATTTATTTATTTTATATTCATTTTTTAGTTTTATTAAGAAATAAATACTTTCTACTAATTTAATTTATTTTATTTTAATTAGTTTCATTTATTTTATTTTAAAAAATAATTTTTTATTAATTTATATTTTTCGTTTGGTTTATTATTAGTTTTTTGTTTTGTCGAATTATATTTTATTCTACTTTATTTTATTTTATTTTTTTATTTATTATTTTATTTCGATTAATATATTTATTTATCTTTTAACTTATTTATGTGCTCATTGATTTAAATCTATTTTTGACAATATATTATATAAAACTATACATATTTGAATTTTTTAATTTTGTTAGATTTTTTTTTAATCTAACTTTTTTTTGTTATTTATAATTCACACATCCTCAATATAACGTCAATATACATATCATATTAAAATTAGTAAATGTATAAACTGTTCTCAATTAGCCTCTTCGCCTTAAGCGTATCACGTCAGGGTACCAGCCACCCCGAGAGCTTGAGCTTCCTCATCATCAAAGCTTACATGCATCGAACGCCTTCTACTTGGAGTGTTCGATTGCGTTAAGGGCTGTTGTTGGCTCTTTTCAATCATAGCTACTGTTCGTAGTACCGATCGCTTTAACGTAAATTTTCGTTTTCCACTCTTTAAACTTTCATTATTTCGCTGCAATTCATCCTTCGGTGTCGCTTTAGAAGGAGTTGGCGTCACACCATCATGCAACATGGCTAACATTTCGCTCTCCGGGCCGCAAGGTATGTGCATTTGTATTTGTATTTGTGTTTTTGTAATGGCGCGCATACTTGCTGTGGTGTTAACGGTATCATCACTATAACGACGATTAGACTGACGAGAGTGAATACTAGACGTTGTCGCATTACTGGTCGCCGTGTTCGAGGTGTTCGTATTCGTATTTGTCGCCACCCCAGTTATTGTGCCAGTGCGTGTCCGTATGCGTTTGTGACGTCCACAAGTCAGCGACATAACAGCACCATGCCATGTATTCAAAATCAATCGGAGAAATCCTTTGCGAAATTTTGTAGACATAAGATTGTAGAGAATTGGATTTATGCCCGAATTTAAGTAGAACATAATGCGACAAAAGTACAAGAGGCTATAATAACGTTCCACGCCAATCTCGAAGAATGTTTGCTCTGAGCTTAATATAATCCACATGGTGAGCAGGCGAAAGGGCAGTAGGCAGAGAAAAAAGGAGAGTACAACAGCGCCCAGCATGAGTACGACTTGTTTGCGCGCCTTTAAACTCAATTCGGGTTTCGATGGTCGTATACGTAGCATGGGACCATTACTGGAGATGAGGTTTTTCGCTATAATCGCGTATAGCACCATTAAGATAAGTAGAGGTAGTATAAAGAAAACGATTATTGTCATCAAGAAGTAGCCAACGGTCCAATTGTTGGTAGCTTGAGTCAAACACACCGCTACCGATGATCCATCAATGTATTCAACGTATTTGTATTCCGCTACCCAAATAATGGGACTAAAAATGAGATGAAATGTGTATACACGGGATAGTGTATTAAAGCTAGAATTTTTGCTGTACTTTATCAAATAAATTCCAGTGCCAATTTTTCCAAAAAGATAGTGCAAATATAAAAAAAATATATATTAACGCCCAGCTGAATCAAATTTGGTGCCGTTCAATAAACTCTACTAAAAACTCCCGATTTTCGATAAATATTGGATGGTATTCTATAGAGATCTGGAATTAAGGATTAAAGCAATATACTTCGTTACCATTCTTTTAGCTAGAAGTTGGAAAAGATAATTTAATTTAGAGCAAGGGAATATTTGAATTAATTTTGGCAGAATGATGGCCATACTTTGGGCCCATAGATGCTCGGCGTACACACCTAGGCTGCTTGTGATAATATACTTTCGCCGTATACAATTGGTCAATTATAGATTGCTCTATCTTTCGAATTTCGCTATTATTGATGAAAATAGAGAGTTTCAAGAAAGAGAGGGTTTGTGGAATAATCCAAACGACATTGCTGTATGTAATAAGGTCGAACTGGTCGCTTTTTTGGCATGTGATTTTCAAGAAGAAATAAAACGCTTACCCTTTAACCTTATGCCCAAGAAGAAGAGCACATTGCTGGGTCGAATAAATTCCAGCTGAGAGGCTCAAATTCCGACCCCTTTTGGCAGCCATTGGGCTTTTGGCTGAGTAATAATGCCCCGAATATTCTTTTTCAAGGCATAAATCGTCCCGGTCTTAAATGCGCAGATAAGCGACTTAAGATCGAACCTTCTTGAAGGCCACGCTAAAGACTCACGACGCGCTCACCAAAAGTTTGTGGACTATCACACTCGCTCATCATCGCTGAATAAATTTTCTTGTGAAAGTAAGAATCGGTGTTCATTTCGAAACCGATCTATGGTTGCTCGAAATACCGGCTCTGCTGGGCAATTCTGCGTTATTATGCACGGACAGACTAAACCGAGTTTAAATCAAGTAGCTATAAAATAGACCAACTGCGAAATAGATATTACTTGAATTCATCGACCAAATTAGCACATCACAAGAGTATTTTAAAGCGAGTTCAGCGAGTAATGAGGCCAAATTTGTCACTTAAAAATGCGTGTAAAACTTAGGCGCTGATAAGAAAGTGATAATTTTAGGGAAACACTTATTAAAGCTGTGGCTATGGGGTAACTTGCAGCTTTTGTATCAAAGTCTCTTAAAAAATATATCAATCAACCACAGCACGTTTTAAGTAAACTTTACCTAAGTTAAATATTCCTTTACTATAATTGATTTCCTGAAATGCTTGTACTTAAGCTATGAAATTCCGGAAGCGACTAAGCAGCCACAAATATTAGAATAAATATTCCATCCGCCATTGTCACTGCCCGAACAGCCGGACGTGGAAGCGTGCAATTAAAGGCCACGTGATAAAAACGCCTATTAACTACAACGCCGCTATAAAGTATTTGGCGACACTGCCGGTGGGTGGTAGCAAAGGTCAGTGCTCGTTTTGCTTGTTTTGTCATGCGATTACCTCATTTCTATTATGAAAAAGCGCTAAGGGCGTTTTTGAATCGGCGACAAGCGGCCGTACGGAAAAATACAAATATAATTTAAATATATGTAAATAAAAAGGGTCGCGGTGATTAAAGGAAAAACTGAAAATAACTAGAAGAACAAATAAAAATAACTTAAACCACAAAAAAAAAGAAAACAAAAAAAAAATCGGTTATCTATTTGTTTTCTTGCAAGGGCGCTGCTTATAGTGAGCACGCAACGACAGCCGACGGTGATTGTGGAAATGGTGACGACTAAAATGATGACAGTAAGGACTATCGGCTGATTTTTAGCGCGGCCAAATATAATATTAATTCAAACAAAAATACTTTTTCCATCAGCTTTGACTTATTACGGATTTATATGTTTATGTATATGTATGTGTATAGAGTACTACGATTTAATGGCGTTTGCGTAGCATGCTAAATGGACGGGAGCATAATAAAATCTAAAATCTAAATAATAAACAATAGCTGGAAAAATCTTGACAAAAGGCATAAAATTAATATTCAAATAGCAGGCAATATTAACAGGAATGAATTCGAATGTATATTTATAAGATATGTAATGAACAATAAAATCAGCATAAATTTCTATAAATTATTTTCAGTACAAGAACTTTTGGTAAAATTGAAATTGCGCTAAGTTAATATTTTTACACTTCTTTTGGTTTTTAGTACTTCGAAACTACACTAAGTTGGCAATTAGATTTTTATAAGTAAATACATACATATGTACATATGTACAAATTAGCGGTAATATTTTGGTGTTAAGTTTTTCTGACGTGGTAATAATAATAAGACAGTTTTAACGATTTGATTGGATGCTACAATAATTGAACTATCTATATAGTGTTATCAAGGATAAACTTCTCAATTACTTATTGAGTTTACAAATAATTAGATTATGTTTATATAAAAGTAAACTTTATACTCGACATACTCAGCCTGCTCAACATACAGTGCCAAACAAAATTTTTTTAAATAATTTTTTTTATGTAGTTACAATTCTTTCAAGGCAAGGCAAGATTCGGATCCTCTAACTGATGTTAACAGTGTCCAACAATTAGAAAATCTGCTGAAGTAGAAGTTATTTTCACAGGTGAAACTGCATATTGTGGCGCTGTGGGCTTCAATATTAGAAGCTAAAAAAAATTAACCACTGTTCCAACTTAAGCTATAGGCTCTAAAGCACCGACGACATTTATTTAAACACCGCAAAAGCGCGAGTTTGATAGCAAACATTGATAATATGAAATATTTACTGTCATTAAGTAAACAATAATGGTCCGGATACTCCTGTCTGGAATCCTACTTCAAGTAAAGTGCTCTCGACGAACGAAGAGCAAAATCGGTTGTCATATACGCACTGTTGGACAAAGGCAACATCCTTAGAGTAGGCTCTATGAGAAAACTTTAAGGAAAGATTCATAAGGTGTTGATCTATTTTAAAAGATTTCTACGCTGTACAGTTAAGATGGCCGCGGTAGCCAAGTGGTTATCATTGCATACTGACATTCGGGTTCATAACCCGGTGCCATCAACATCCAAAAGTTATGAAAAATTAATTTAAATAAAAAGTTACGTTAAATTTTCAAATTACGGTCGTCCCTCGGCCATGAATGTATTTTGGACATGAAATAAAGGCTCCTCGTAAAAACAACCATCAGTCGTTCGGATGCGGCTTAGTATAAACTGTAGGTCCCTCGATTTTGTGGAAAAACATCAAGACCAAAAACCATAAATTAGAGGAGAAGCTCAGCCGAAAAATCGCTTGATCGGTTACAAAGAGCCAGTTAAACATATACATACATATTGTTGAGGCGACGAAGAAACCTCCTTTGAAAGATCAAAGGGAAAGTGCGCTAAAAAAATTAAAAATAAAAATATTACTCCCTTTGCTATAATTGCATTAGTAATTAGTGTAACCAATTAAGAAAAAGACCGTGGACTTACATAAACTTAATAGACGCGGAGGTTTTCCAGATATTTTGCGAAACTGCTTCTAAGATTGGCTTCCCAGTTTACTCTTTTTATGGTACTAAGAATGTCTAAGACCACAAATAGTAGGAATGTGTTCGAGTTAAGACAGTGCACCATCCAGAATTTAATTGGAAATCGTTGTCAAGTTAGAGCCGGTTCTAAATAAGTTAGAGCTAGATTTAACTAAAAATATTCTTTAATCTAATCATAGTCGAGGTAGAGCAGACTTTTATACTTAGAGCCGGCGCCAGAGTCAGAGTGACGAAATGTTGATACTAAAGCAATTGCTAACCTTTTGAAATTTAATAACACTCCAATTCGCATCATTTTTATTATAATTTAGTTAAGAAAAATCGTGTATATGTCTCCTAGTGAAGAAATCAGAAGAAAATTTGTCAACTGCTTAATGTTTACTGAGAAAATATCATGGAATACGGATCAAAGTAAGCTAGGGCATGGCGCTATACTGACTAAGAAATAAGAATGATAGACCTCTAAAATTGCACCTTAAGGGGCTCACTTATGCGCTGTTATAAAATCTGACAATCAGCTGTTATAAAACATCGAAAACAGAACGGAGTCGTCGTGGGTATATATGATGTTTTTGTATTTTGTTGACTTTGTTGTACTTTGAATATTTTTAAGGTTATTATTATTATTTTTATTTACAATAATAAAGGCACATCCGGACGTATCAAACAGGGTTTTAATTGAACATTTTTCTGGGGTCACACGAATTAATTGCGGGTTGTACGATCACCCTGACCAACAGAAGTTCAAGGAGTTACACTCTTAGAATTAATGAAGGTGCTTTGTCGTCTGGCGAAAATATAGAAGTTGACGATACCCCTGACTTGGAAGCTACTCACCCAACAGGTATTTGCGTATTTTTCGAGTTTACATCTCTTTTTATATATAATATTAAAGTGCAGACTTTTCGAGCAGAAAGCTAAGCTGAGCGAAATGAGTTGGACGAATTATCTAAATTGAAATATTGCACAGTGTTCTCCATTTTGCGGTTTCGAAAATAAACGCAAATCAAACTATTTTTTTTCTTCATGCATCTCTTTTTGTAAAAATATTGTAAAGCTTGAAATTTTAGAATTATATGTTATTCAAATAAATGCCTCGCGAATTTTCACAAACTTCGATCAGCTTGAGGCAATCATCAGCCACATTTTGGCACATATTGGGCGGTGCCATAACTTGACAAATGTTGTCAGTCTCTTTGTCGTTTTCAAAGAAGTGTAAAGCACAAACTCATCTCCGGACCAAAGAGCGCATCAGACAATAAGTTTTTTTGTCAATTCATTAATTCAATTTATTTGAACATTCTCGAACACCCAAATCATACAGTTTTGTTATTTACGTATCCTCCGAGTAAGAAATGTACGTTGCCGTTGAGGAAATTTTGTTCGAAAAATCGCCGTCCATTGCTTATTGTTCAAGCACTCAATTGGCTGGGTTAATATGGATGTAGGAGTAAGTCCAAGTGCACAATGCATCATAATGCGCCGTAAGATAATCCTTGAAAACGCACGCATGCTTTATAATATCTGTAATCGATTTAGTCTTCATATTTCTTTGACATTTTACCAATTGCGTGAATAGTTGGACGATTATGTTTACCATGGCTGCTTCTCAGTCAACTTTTTTGTAGTGAGTTTTAAAAATTTTAACGTGTCTTGCGGCTGTTAAGCGATCCATTTCATAAATGCCTCACATATTTAGTTTGTTAGTTAAGTTTGATAGTTAAGTTTGACAGTTGTTGACGAAAGGACGCCACAAACTGCGTTTCCAATATGCCGAACAAAACTCCTGTTTACACGAGGATCGTAAATCCTTGCATAACTTTGGGCGTTGACTAATTGCTTTCTGACTAGATGAAAGAATACAATTCTCAAATGATCAGCGAAGTGATACAGCTAAAGTGCCTATTGTTTGCACTGGAATTTACCTTCTTAAAGCCCATATCAGATCTCTTGTTATCTGATCTGTATGCGTCTTTCCATCCATGCTCCTTGATTACGTGATTGGCATCTGCGTGGCGTCAGGTGCCTCCCATGGCATTGGGTAAAGACCGAATTTTTTTGCACGAGCCTAATACTCAACTGAAATACATTTCACATTCGTCCCCACACGCCTAGACAACTCCCGACATTCCATCGTTTTCATGGACTACTCACTTGAGTGAAGGTGGAACTTGCCAAGAGCAGAAAGGAATCAGTACATGACTCAACTGGAGGTAATTTTTCTGTCCCCTAATGGATAATGTCTTTCAGTTACGAAACATATTATAAAAAAAATTTAAAAAAATATTTTTTGAAACAAGAATGTTTGTAAAGACAAAAAAATAAAATAAAAAAAATATTAGAAAGCGTTCATTAACGAAATGGGAGATATAGAGTAATTTAATATTTTATTAGACACTTTATTGTGGAAGTGATTGTTGGCGAACTGATGTTGAGAGGCTGTGTGAACCATGATTATCAAATTTGGTGGAGTTTATTTTTAACACTGAAACTTTCGAATACCAAATTTTTTTGTTTCCTTCTTTTTGCTTTTTAAGGAACTGATATTTCTCTATAACAGCTCAATTATTGCAGCCAAACTTGTCTCTTTTCTCACACCTCGCAAACACTTACCTGGTAAATACTGCGGCAATGCCCCACGCGATTATGCAAATAAGTATGGCACGTGCCTTGGTACATACATAACCGGCTTTCAGTGGCTCACATATGGCATAGTAGCGTTCAAAAGAGATGGCCAAAATTGTCAGCACACTAGCATGAGCGACTGTTAATTCGACAAATGGTACGGCTTTGCCTGGCGGATGAAATGAGGAGAGTTTAGAAAATGCTGCTTAAATTAAAATTAAAATTTTTTAATATTAAACTAAATATTTTTGCCTGCAAAAAATATTTCAAAGAACTGTGTAACCTACACATTTCATGTCCCAGCACCCAAGTCTCCGGTGGCGTGTTCACCTCGACCAGCACCGTTGGCGTACAAACAAGCAACACTAAAAGATCGGCAATACTGAGATTGGTGAGGAATATGTTGGTGGAGTTGCGCATATCTTTGGTTTTCACAATAACAATTGGCACCTTTCGGTTGTGTGATGTGGTGGTAAATCGAGAAAATGTAATAAAATAAAAAGGAAAGCGAAATTAACTCAAAGAAATTCCAAACTAGATGTACGGCATATGCATTGTAGAAGCCAAATATATAATATATATACACACACATAAGCACACGCTTATGTACGTGTATCTTGCAGTTAATACTCACCATAATGTTGCCAATAACACCCAACGTCATGATTGCTATGCAAAAGCACATGGCAGTGTTGCGTATGTAAGTGGGAATCTGTGGCACTTCGACGTTGTCGTCGAGAGTGGCGTCGTGCGCAGCGAGCACGGACACATTGACAGTGGTGCTGGCGTCAATGGTGTGGTGGAGGAGCGGTGGAGCGATGGTGTCACTTGCCACGGTTTCGCTTCCAGCAGCAATAAAAGCAGCAACCGATTTGTTGTTCTTGTTGCTGTTGTTCTTGCTGACAGTTGTAGTTGTACTGGTGGTTGTTTCGTGAATGAGCGCTGCTGCCGGTTGTATAAACTGAATCGAAACTGTTGTTTCGATAATTGCTTGTTGTTGTACATTGTAAGCATTGCCATTGATCTCATAGTCAACACCGTGGGATAGCGTCGAATGACAGTTGGGGTTCAGTTGTGTATTTTTAAGCGTACAAGGGTTCCCGCTGTTGTTGTTCACTTCGATTTTGGGGTTAGCTAAGCCATTATCGACACCGATATCGTCCTTGATATCGACATGCACGTCATTGGCACTTGCCGTTGGAATTTCAGTTAAAGCTGCAGCCACTACAAAAGTATTTGACGCGTAAAAGTGTAGGAGGACAAGGAATGCGCTGACTAGTGTTGGGTTAAAACTAAAAGTTTTCGGATTACAGCGTTGGGATGGATTTCGTGGGTTATTTTGGTGCTTACTGCGTTGTTCTCTACTTCCATGTAAATGTGAGAAGCTCAAGTGATAGCTGGTTTTCGTTGTGGTTTTAATTTTATTTATATTTTGGTTTGCTGCAGCTCTTGTTTCCACCACCGCTCCGCCTGCTAAGCCACACTGGGAATCTGTTACTTCAACTGGGATGCTGTTGACACCAAGCGCTTTTGCTCTTATTTTTCGCCTAAATGTTGGTGTCACCTCTACTGCCACCACTTCGTTTGTTGCCACCGACGTTTCGGACGTTGTAAGACTTGCTTCCGAGCTTTTACTACAATTAGATATGACTGACCGTGTGTGGCTGCTGTGCAACCGCGTTGTTCCTGCCGTGTTTTGACGTTTCTACTGCTGCTTCCAATACTGTTCATACAAGGGCGCCTTGGTAATTAAATACCATGCAACATTGCCACATACACTGTTATCTCTAGTCCAAAGTGCCGCTAATGCATTTCCAGTTGCGACCGGAAGCACTTGGCCACGCTTGTATGCTCGCATAAGATTTCTTCTTCAATTAACACCCGCTGTTTGTCCGAATGCTCTGCAATATCATTGCTTTGGAATCTGTATAATCTATGTGTGTAATCATTCGTCTCGAATTATCTTTGTGTGCTCATACAATAATTTTCCTTCATTTCTAATTTATTGCATGTAGAAGCGTATTTATTTGTGTTGAGGTAGAAATTGTGTCATTAATGGTCTTTGGCAGTGGGTCTGTTGAGCAACTAATCTGATTAGTGTCGGAGCATATGCTTTCTGTGGCAATGAACGAATTAATGCGGCTGCCCTTTTCGTGTTGTTTAATTAGTAGTTTATCATTTGTGGATAATTATTACATAAATACATTTATATATATTTCAGAGAGCTCAGTGGATTTTCTTTTTGTATTTGTGACACTGCTGAAAACAAGAACGGAAGGATATAATTTTCGTATTAATGAGATAATTTAAATGATGTCATCTTATACATATATACATGTTGCACAAGCTAAGACTCATCTGTTTTTCAAAATTAAAGAGTTTAAAATAATGTTCGAAGCGGAACGAGCTATACAAATATGGCAGCGAAGAATTGCCCAGCTCTATGTATAAGTTTCTTTGCAAAATATGGGAGAATGAAAGCATGCAAAGACTAATCCCACAATCTGCGCCAATTACCGCGCGGTTAGTCTTTTCAATATCGGATATAGGGCGTATTGTGGTAAGAAATAAACTGGGCGGCTCACTTTTTTCTGACCTAAGGTAATTACACATCATCACGTTAAGTTACTAATAATACTAATTGCGGGACTCATGATTAGTATAAACAACTTTTTTTGATTAGGTTCATTAACATGTCATTCCTGGAACAAGCAACAATACTATGTCCAGAGAAGCTGAAATTTCACGCAATTTGGAGCACGGCGCTTTGATTGAATTCCTTGTAAAAAGAGGAAGTACGCCGGAAGGAATTTTTAAAGAGAAGTTATCGGTTCTTCAGGACTCTGCCTCTTCATATAAGATGGTGTAAAAATGGGCTCGGCTGTTTCAACAAGGAAGAGAGACCTTATGAAAATGACCCAGTGACGGTAGTGACTGAAGAAAATGTTCAGAAAGTCGAAAAATTAATACTGCCTGATCTAAGAATTAAATTTTGGGCATATAGCAGAGGTATTACAGATTAGCAAAGAGCGATCTCAGTGGATAAAAAAAGGAAAAGGTCACCCAAAAAAAAAAATCAAAGTGGAAAAGTCGACATCAAAGATTATCGCTACCATTTTCTGCGATAGTAAGAGAATATTATTAATTGATTACAGAAGAAATGTGAAGAATTCGAGCTGCGAGGGATACCTTAACACCTTACACTCCGGACCTGGCTTGCACTGACTCTTTCCTTTTTTTTTAATTTAAGAAAGGAGTTCTCGGACGGCAGTGGGATGAAAGCGGCCGTAGTAAACCATTTTGAAGTGAAATCTAAAGAATATTCAATCGTATAAAGGCATTGTATTCACGATGTGAAGAGTGAATTTCACTTGAGGGAGACTATATTGGAAAATAAGAGACATACGTTTGTTTCATTAAGTACTTTAGGCCGCAAGCATATCAGCCGCTCCTCGTCTATAGTACAGCGGCTACGCTGGCTAATTCATGTGGTCCGAATAAATTAGTGCACTCCAGATTTGAAAGTTTCGATACAAACTCCTCCGGTGAAAGTAGAGGAAGAAGAAGACCTCCACTTCATTGGAAGGAGAAGTTGCTGCAGAACTCGACTACACTTGGTGTTTCCAATTGACGACAAACAGCGAAAAAAAGGACACGAGCGGTGCACTGTTGTTTACTCGACTATAATCGCGTAAATGGTGTCAATGTCAGTAAAGAAGAAGAATGTTAAATATAATTGCCACCAGTTTCTTTTATAACTTTGTTTGACCAATCAAAGATTACGAATTTGAATAGTTCCAGAGTGTCAAAGAATTAAAATGGCGAAAAATTTCCGCAACGCATTTTTCATAACTTCATTAGAATCATATAAACTGTTTTGAAGGCAGCAAAATAAATAGTAATCTGATTTCCCGTCAAAATTATCGGATGCTTGCCAACTGAGCTCTCTTGAGCTTTGCAGGTTATCAAAAAGTTGTGAGACTTGCAATTATCGTTAAATATTATTAAATAAATAAAACACCTTTGTGGTGGCGGCTTTCGTGTCGATTCTACTGGCTCGTTTTTTTTAGTACAAGTTCGCTTTGGTTATTTTCTGAAAAAAACATTTTTTTTTACAATTCGTAGACCTATTTTTATATTCGACATATTCCCAAATTTCATTTGTGCTGTCTTTCAAATAATATTTGGTTAATTTTGTGATTAACTGTTTTATGAACTATAAGAACTGCTTTAAAAATTCTTAAAGTGGATAATATAAATTCCATACAAAATGTTCAGAGCTTAAAAAACCTTGTACGGGAGCAGCATGTCTTAATTTTTTTTAGTTCTGAATAATTTATGAAAATTTTAAGGACAAAAATTGTTAATAAAAACTTGGCAGTATTTCTACTATGTTAAGGAGATTCCTTTTACCAGAAAGGACGGATTACTGACTTCACGACAGATTTCAATGTAGTTATCCAGAAGCCAGTGGGATAGAATAATTAATTTGTATACGGATGTGTCAAAACTACAATAGATAAAATAACTATTGGTAGAGTCTATTCAACGGAGCTTGGTATTAGTAAGTTCCTTCCGTCTACTACCGGACTACTGTAGCGTGTTTCAATTGGAACTAGAGGCTATCAATTATCTAAGCTCAATGACATTCTCAGTAAATTGTATCCGTAACTTTCCGGATAGCCTGGTCGCAGTAAGGCTTTTGGAACCTGAGAGCTGCCAGAGATTGCTTAACGTGATGGCTAAGCAATTCTCATTAAATCTTGCAGTGAAGGACACTTCAGTTCACTATTCATCATCATTGCAGATCTTGAGCATGCCGTTTTCCACTTGAAACGTCACGATAAGAGAATTATTCTTAATCGAAACTAACTTTAGATGTCTGTCTCAATGGTTGCAATATGATCAGAATAATGTGGACAGCATAAATTAATAAAGCTCACGTGAGCTTATCTCGCTCAAAGAACGGAGATATCTACAATCATAGGTATTTTCACGGGATACATTCCATTAGGAAGAGAAACTCGATACTTTAGAGTACTTCTTTTGTAAATGCCCGCACTTGGAGGAGTAGAATGAAGCCTCTAGGGAGGCAGTCGTCAGTCGCAAAATAGAGGGTGCAAAGATAAGGCGATTGTTGAGTTTTGCAAACTCTATGCAATGCTTTGATTAGCGGGTGTGAGCTATTAGGTTTTCCCGAGGTACCGCAATGCATCCGTTGGCGGAGTAAGTCAGCTGTTGCCCAACAAACACATTTACCCAACCCGATCTATAACTTTGTGATGCCAGAATGGTGCAACACAGCCGATAAGTTCCTTAGAAGTTTTGCAAACGAAAAGTTATATAGAGAATGAATGCTTTCTTGCTTAATATATTTTTATTTCAATATTTTGGTCGAATTTTTCCTCTTCATGTGGTCTGTCTTAATATTTCGTTAAATTAAATTTTGTGAAAATGTGAATATTGTATCGTCTTACACTTATTCGTATTTAATTTTCACTTATATTGACTCATACATATTTTCACTTAAGATCACAGTGTGTGTATTTGCGTATGTTTCTACTGCGTCTAACGCTGTTTAATCACTGTTATTACACATCCTCAGTCTCATGAGTTTTATGCCAATTATTTTGATTTTTGGATATTTTATCTCGGCCAGTAATTGTTAATTGCCTCTGGTTTGGTAGTAAACATAGTTACGACCTTACCAAAAACCACTGAGCCTTCAAGTGGCGGCTATGTTGATGGTGTATTAGGGTGTGACGGTTGTAAATCAATTTTAATATGCACTGTTTTGTTACAATTATACATTAAAAATAGATTTTTTCATTATTAAGCATATTTTTATGTTGCCAAAAGTCAACTCTAAATTCTATTTTAAATATATTTTATGATTTTAAAATTATTCACCAAGTATTTTTCGAAAAGAATAAAAGAGGTATTTTGTTTAATTGACACCGCACACCTTAATATTGTTTTGCTTTTCGTATACGCCTTTGTGCTCATAAACAAAATACCGTATTACATTGCAAAGTTACACACTATTCGATATAAATACACACACTGTCATACCAAACACACAAATAGACATATGTGTCTCTTCTGCCTTAACACTTCGACATGACAAACTAAACTCCATCTTCTGTCAGATACTTGAAGAGAACGAAAATCTCGTTCGTTTTTTATGGTGAAAAAAAAGATCTTTATGGTAAGATAGTGACAGTAGTAAAGATTGGAGGGAATTTATTGCCGACACCCTATAATAAAATTAACATTGCAATTGCTGGATGAGACATATGTGTGTTCGCACCCCACTAAATACATTACCCTGGTATTATTTGTATGTACTTATATATATATTTATGTACAGCACTATATATGTCCATAAACATTCAAGCGCTCATACTCGTAAGTAAACACATACAATCACACATATCTAATCAATTTATCGCTCAATAATAGCCCAATGAAGATTTTATTTTCACGCTTTTTCACTTTCATTCATTGACAATTGGGACTAACAAAAATTCACAACAACAAATAAACACGGTTATAAACTGCCCAGTGAGTTTTCATCAAACAATAAAAGGATTGTTCTTTAAATTTAATCTTTTTGGCGAAAGAATTTAGTCCTTCTCCATTCTTTGCAGTATGAGTATACCCAGGTATAAAATTAAAAAAAAAAAAAAAACATTTTTTTTTATAAATTTCAAATAATTATATATATGTATTTATGCTTCATTTATAATTTTTGTTTTAATATTAGACATCAAAAGTTTATTTTTTTAAAACTACTCTACCTTTTGAAAAAGTGTTTGCTCTAAAAAAGAGCGACATTTTCACACGAAATTGTCTATT